AAGAAATGGGTGTGCCTCTGAAGATGGTTGTCCTGATGTATAAGGACAAGAAGCTACCGTGAGGACAGAATATGGAGAGACAGCATGGTTTCCTACAGGCCAAGGGGTCAGACAAAGGTGCATCTTATCCCTCTATCTGTTCAATCTATGTTGTTGATTGTTGTTTAGTCATTAAGTCATGTCAGATTCTTCGTGGCCCCATGGACCAGAGCATGCTAGGCCCTCCTGTCTTCCACTGCCTCCCAGAGCTTGGTCAAAGTCATGTTGGTTGCTTTGATGACATTGTCAATCCATCTTGTCCTCTGTTGTCCCTTTCTCCTTCTGCCTTCATATTTTCCCAACATCAGAGTCTTTTCTAGGGAATCTTCTCTTCTCATGAGATGGCCAAAGTATTGGAGCCTCAGTTTCAGGATCTGTCGTTCCAGTGAGCACTCAGGGTTGATTTCCTTCAAAATGGATAGGTTTGTTCTTTCAGTCCAGGGGACTCCCCAGAGTCTCCTCCAGCACCACAATTCAAAGGCATCAATTCTTCAGCGGTCAACCTTCTTTATGGTCCAGTTCTCACTTCCCTACATCGCTACTGGAAAAATCACATCTTTCACTATGCAGACTGTTGTTTGCAAGGTGATGTCTCTACTTTTTAAGATGCTGTTCAATCTATACAGAGAGCAAATCATATGGAAAGCTGGATTAGATTCAGATAAAGGAGAATGAAATTGGTGGAAGAAATATCAATAATTTAAGATACATGGATTACACGAACTCACTGCAGAAAGCAACAGTGATTTGAAAACTTTTGATGAAAATGAAAGAAGAAAGTGCCAAAGCAGGACTGCAGTTGAACATAAGGAAATGAACACCATGACTACAGAAGAACTACACAACTTTAATGTTGATAATGAAGACATTGAAATTGTTAAATTTTTTGTATGCCTTGTTTCAATCATCAATCCAAATGGAGACTGCAGTCAAGAAATCAGAAGACGTTTGAGGCTCAGAGGGGCAACAGTGAAGGAATTAGAAAAGATCACCAAAAGATAATCTTGACCAAAGCCAAGATCATTAACACTATTGTGAATGTATGAGTGTAAACACTAGACAGTGAAGAAATTTGACAGGAAGAAAATTTGTTTGAAATATGGTACTAGAAGAGAGCTTTGCAGACTAACAGAAAGATAAGACAGCTGAGCCCTAGAGCAAATTAAGCCTGAACTATATTTGGAGGCAAAAATGTTGAAACCGAAGCTGTCATACTTTGAGCTTATTATCAGAAGACAAGATTCTCTGAAAAATACAATAATGCTGTGGAAGCAGCAGAAAAAGAGGAAGACCAAATACAAGATGGACTGGCTCCCTAAACGAAGGCACAGGGTTGAGTCTAGAAGAGTCAAGCAGGGCTGTTAAAGACAGGATGTTTTGCAGATCCTTCATTCATAGGGTCATCATACGTCCTAGGCGACTTGACAGCACATTAAAAACAATAATAGAGGCATAATTTAGCAGAAAGCACTGGGCTAGCATATAAGCTGCCACATGTGTTACTCGTAGCTTTGTGTTTGGGCAAAAAGGACAGCAACCAGAGGTGAGTGGAGCCAACGGCAAAAGTGAGTAGTTAACACACAGTAATGTCTCTCACACAGAGATGCAGACAGGCAGGCATTCACAAATGCACATTCCCACAGAAGCCTTCTGGACTAGCTTGGAGGAACTTGAACCTGAGGTAGGCCTGTGCCCCGCATGCCCTAATGGACAGACAAGCCACCACTGTGGTGCCCCTCTCCATATGGAGGACTCATGACTCTGTCATCTCCAGCCATTGGATCTTTCTGGCACTGCTTGGTAGAGGGAACATCAATATGTCAACACACCCAGGTTGGAAAAGGCTGCCCTAAGGTTGTCTCCCTTCAATCCAGAAAGGTCAAGCTATCTGTTTGCCTGGCCCGGGAGAATGCAATTTCAACTATCAGCCATGATCAAAACTACTCTGGACTTGAATTTATTTATTTATTTTATTTATTTATTTATTGAATGCTGGTTCCCAATGACCAGCTCCCTGTGTGAAATGCAAGTGTATCCTGCAATCATCTGCAAAGCTGAAGAAAGCCCTGGGGCCTAGTTTGCCACTGTAGAGGCAAGTTGGGAGAAAATCTCTTGTTCCTTCAAGGCAGCTGGCAAAAGACCTCAAGCCATCCCTAGTGAAGGAGGCTTCTTTCTTAGCAGACCAGATGAAATGAAGCAAAACATGCTCAGCCTGTCCCTTTCCTCTTCATTATTATTTTTGCCACACATACAATTCCTATTTTAATGTCATCCTCTGGGCACATCTGGAGAAAGAAGATTCTTGACAGTATGGGCACTATCCTGAGAACCATGGCAGGAGCCTAACTGCAATCCTGTAGATCAGTTTGATGAGAGGAAAACTGAATGGAGTTAGAGTCAGAATCAGGTAGGTTCGGGTTGGACCCAAGGCTACATGTGTGGTCAAACAAAATCTGCCACCATGGCCAAAGAGGGTAAAATCTCAAGTTGTTAGGTTTTGTTTTAAATCACACACTAATTCCTTGAAAGAACACAGTTTTGCTGGTTTGACCAATACAAAATCCTGTCAGTATTGCAGTATTCAGATTGCCTGTCCATTGTGCTGAGGATCCCACACACACATTAACAGAAAAATCAGTTGACCAACTGGCTTATCCAGTGTAAGCTTTGATCAGTTCTTTGGTATGTGGAAGCTCAGAAGAGGCATAGAGATGAGAGAAGTTTCTGTTATGTTGTAGGGTGGGGCCACTAGAAAAAAAAACTACTTCTATATCCTGCTTTTCACCACAAAATAACTCAAAGAAGCCCTGGAGCACAAATAAAAAAAGTAGGTAAAATACACAATGCTTAATACCCTTTCCTACAACTTTGCTCTCTTAAGACTGAAAACTAGTTCCAGCTAATAAGCTCTCCCTCTGGAAGATTTCTGCCTCAGCAAAAGCACACACATTAGCAACTAAGATCATGGCCACTGGTCCCATCACCTCCTGGCAAATAGAAGGGGGAGAAATGGAGGCAGTAACAGATTTTATTTCTTGGGCTCCATGATCACTGCAGATGGTGACAGCAACCAGGAAATTAAAAGACGCCTGGTTCTTGGGAGGAAAGCGATGACAAACCTCGACAGCATTTTAAAAAGCAGAGACATCACTTTGCCGACAAAAGTATGAATAGTCAAAGCTATGGATTTTCCTGTAGTGATGTACGGAATGAGAGCTGGACCATAAAGAAGGCTGACTGCTGAAGAATTGCTGCTTTTGAATTGTGGTGCTGGAGGAGGCTCTTGATAGTCCCCTGGACTGCAAGGAGAACAAACTTACCCATTCTAAAGAAAATCAAGCCTGAGTGCTCACTGGAAGGACAGATCCTGAAGCTGAGGCTCCAAAACTTTGGCCATCTCATGAGAAGAGAAGACTCCCTGGAAAAGATGTTAGGAAAGTGTGACGGCAAGAGGAGAAGGGGACGACAGAGGATGAGACGGTTGGACAGTGTCATCAAAGCTACCAACATGAATTTGACCCTACTCTGGGAGGCAGTGGAAGACAGGAGGGCTTGGCGTGCTCTGGTCCATGGGGTCACGAAGAGTTGGACACGACTTAAGAACTAAACAACAAAAATCACAATTCCATACTAAAAATAGTAACGCCTGATTTCTGCACATTGAATTTAAGTTAAAACTACAACAGCAAGGTAGCTACATTTCCTGGGCACTTGGAAATCAAGCTGTCAACTTGGCAACTGGCAATGTTTGGCAGCTCAAAATTTTCAAGTAATACAGATTATATTGGCCAGAAACTCTTGAGTGGCTTGTGTACCCCACACTCCTCGTATTAAAGCAAATCTCAAGAAACTTTGTTGGCTGTCCATTCATTTCTGGGCCCAATTCAATGTTCCAGTTGTCAACTTTTAAAGAAACTAAATAGTTTGGGGCACAAACTTCTAAAGGGTCCCTCCTATTGTCAAGTTGGCTGTTCCTATAAGATCTTCTGAAGAACCCATTCCCCTTTCCCAACAGGGAAGGTGGCTCAGGACAGGAACCAGAGGTGTTTATGCGCCTCCCTCTGAAATGCTGGGGTGAGTCAACAATACTCGCGCAATCCCAAGTATGACAATCACCCGCAAGGGAGCGATGAGCGGCATCCTTGGCCAAATCCACAAGAGGTCCTACCTCCACAGGTGTGTATTAGGAGCAACCAGAATGGCACCGACCTGTGCCTGCCTGGGACTCCTCTAGAACCCTTCCTCAGCTTTAGGGCATTCCCAGGAGGGGGTGGAGAGAACAAAAGCGGGGAAGTCAAACATTTGGTCCCCGAGACCCGAGTTCTGAGGGACACCAACGTTGGCTTTGCTAAGAGGCGCCGACACCCGCGCCCTTTATTTAGCGAGGCATTTAAGTCGCTTCTGATGCTGGAATCCAGAAGATCTTTTAAATCGAGCAAGGTTTAGATCGTTTTTAAGGGCGCCTTCGCTTTTAGTGTCGTTTGAATGCACTGGCTTCAGAGAACTAGAGCAGCCCCCCATCCAACACCCCGTTTTTCCTCTTCCAACTCAGTTTTTGTTTGAAGAGGGAGAGAGGGAAGGTGGTGCTGGGGAGGAGAGGAAACAGGCACAAAAAGCGGCTGAGGCGTCGACGGCAACCGCGGCTTTCGGGGCTGGGCGAGCGAGCGCTAGGGCCTGGCGGGCTCCTCCTCTGCCCGCCCTCCCGAGGAGCTGGTGCGGGGCTTTTGACGTCACTCTTGTCAGTGTCAGCACATGGATGTACGAGTGCGCTGAGAGCCGCGCAGGTGGCCCCAGCCAGCAATTCGGTCGGGGCGGAGCGAGGGCGCTGGAAAGCGGACCTTGGCTGGCTGGCTGGCGAGCTGACAGACAGGGGAGCCGCTTTGCTTTTTATTTCCTTCCTTCCTTCTTTTCTTTCTTTATTACTATTATTATTTTTTACCTTCCTTCCTTTTCTTTTCTTTCTTTCTTATTACTATTTTTTTGTTTTGTTTTTCTCCTGCTGCTGTTGCTGCTGCAGCTGCAGTTGAAACGGGATTAAGAAGACAACCCCGATTTCCCTATAGAGGAGCAAGATCGCCTCCAGGCAGCTGTAACTTCACCAAGGACGCTCCTCTGTTTTTTTTTAAAATTGCATTATTATTATTATTATTGCCATTATTATAATTTCTACTCTGAGTTATCCCCCCCCCCCCAGATCTCTGTGGAGCTCTCCACCACCACCTCATTTATTTTTAGTGTGAGAATAAACGGACAGGGAAGAGCTCCAGGAAAAGAAAAAAGAAAAAGAAAAAAGAGAGAGAGAGGTTGAGAGATTGAGAGGATGGCTCGACCTCTCTCTTTGAACCCAACTTTCCTACCTCCAACCTACGGAGTGCTGAAGTCTCTGCTGGAAAACCCGCTCAAGCTGCCGCTGCATCACGAAGACGGTGAGAGTGAAGATGGATGGAGAGGGAGCGGGGAGGGGGGGGGAAACGAGAGAGCAAAAAGTTTTGGGGTGGGTCGGGCCAGGGTCATGGGCTGGTTGGTTTGCTTTTGAGGCCCCTTCAACACAGGGGCATATTTTAAAAATTAATAATTATGATGATTGAAAACAATGATGGAGTTGAGTATCAGCGGCAAGGCGCTGGCACCTATTTCTTAATGGCCAAGCCACCTTAGAATTAAAGCGGCGCGCTCCGGCGACGGGGCGGAGGACGATCCCCCGGCCTCCTTAGGGGTGCACGCCTGGTGCCGGGTTACTCGGGAGTAAGGGACGACCCCACCACGGCTTGCTTCGGGATAAAGGAACGCGAGTGTAGGCTGTGGAGTGGAGCGATCGCGTCAATGCCAGGCTTGCGGCTTCAGCCTAAAGTGGTTTGGTTTCTTCGAAGGCAAGTTGCCCTGAGTTGAGTGGGCTTACTTCCAAGTAAGTGGAGCTGGGGTGGCGTGGGCAGAGCCCGATCCTGGGCCCTCGGTCCAAAGCCAGCCCGCCCATTACTCCCGGGCCGAGTCTCAGGAGAGGCTCGCCCTCCGTTCAGTGGACAGATGCCCGAGTCAAGTGTGTTGACTTGCAGAGCTGGATCCCGCCCGCTTGTAAGGTGTACCGGGGTTATTTTCAGTGCGACGCCGACAGGATTGGGCTTCAATGGGTTACTATGGCGTGGAATTAAATAATAAAGGAGGTGTTCGCTAAAACTGTGTTACTTGAGATTTCTGGAACAAGTTAGGAAAGGGAACCAGGTCTGTTTGTTGTTCTTAAGGCACCTTAGAAGATTACTTCCTAATAAGATTTAACACAATTAAAAGTGTGAGTGTGATACAGTGTAGTCCTGTGTTTGCTTAACTCGGAAACAAATCCCGTTGTTTTCAAGGTGACTTGCTTTTAGGTTAGGGTACAGAATTCCTCCTTTAAATGTCCATTAAAGTTTGCATGCATATTCAAGGAAGTAATATTTTAAAATATGTGGGTGGGATTTTAAAAAAATAGCAACAAATATTTTGGGGTGGGGGAGCTGAAATAAATACTAGCAATCCAATTTCTTTCTCTCACCTACGTATGAATTATGGAATCATTCCATTCTTGTACTCTCTCCAGCCTGTATTCTATGGATTCTGAAAGTTTAGACAGATGGCGACATATAGATGTACATTTCAGCTATGAATCTGCATGGAATCCAAAGTGAAGACTTATCAAATTATCGGAAAATAGCAGAAGGGTATTCTCAGTATGTTAGATCAGTGTGAATAAACCTCTTCCCAAGGTTCTGAGACCATGTGCAACATAAAACTTAACACAACTTGAACTTCATTTCCTCTTAAAAGCCATAATAACAGTGCCTGTTAGCAGTTTTAAAACCCCTAAGCAGTTCTCAGGATGTTGTATTTCAGTTTGGTGGTTTTCATACATTTGCTGTGTAGGCTGGTCAAACACTTCTTTATTTGGAAGCATATAACAATTGGTTCAAGAGGGGGTCATACTCCTGAGTAAGTGTTCAAAAGAGTGCAGCGTTTAGCCTTATAAGTGACACACAGTACATTTAGGGAAAATATTAGATTTTAAAAAGAGATTAATCATTTCCCTGGAGGTTGTGTGTATCTGGAAATAAAGTTTAAAGGGGAAAATCATGGCAAATCATAAAAGCCACTTGTTGACAGTTGTATTACTTCTATGTACAACTGTGCTTGGTAAGCGTTCAAGCCAAACATTTTTCAACCACTGTGTTGTTTGAGAAACCTGTTGCTGTTCTCGTATCCACTTGTCCTGCATAGTGACCAATATGAATACTACTTTCCTAGATTTTAATTCTGAACCTTGATGATTTGGATCAAGCTGCCAGTTAAACAGGAGATGTTTAATTAAATCATTTAACTGTTCTTTTTACACTGATCCACAGCTCCAGAAAGCTGTGAATTTTTATTCCCCCAGATGGAGAGAAAAAAAAAGGGGGGGGGAGAGATTAACTTCAGTCCCTCCCCCAAGCCATTTTCCCAATCAAAAGTTCCTCCTGTGTTTGTTTTTGCTCCCTGATAGATTTATTCCCTGACCTCAGAGGCAAACAGTTCATCTACTCAGATGACCTCAAGCAAATGTGAACTTTAAAAAACCAACCAAAAACCTAATAAAAACAAGCATTTGGATGTGGAGGGGAGCAAGGTGCAAAAGAAATTTTGCTCAAAACAGGATCATGGGCAAGAAGGTTCACTACTCTGTCCCCTCCTCTCAAATTCAGCTGCCTTTTCATTAAAAAAACAAATGCTGAAAGCTCAACTATTGCTTTCCTCCAAAACGTGTGGTTTGGCCCACAGTTCTGTAATGTTCTGTTCAATAGAATTTTAAAAACCCTCAGCACAGTCTGTTGTTGCAAAGTTTCACTAAAAAAAATCTCTGTTGTTGATCTCCGCGCAAATGACCTTTGGCCTGTGCCACTAGTTTGGATCCGTGCAATTTTTCATATTAGTTTGAAAATGGCTCTATCTGTTGCTGTATTTCTTGGAATGTTCTCATGGGCTAGAATCCAGCATACTCTTCTCACCTAGGAGTAAATACCACAGAATATAACAAGAACTACGTCTGAGGAGACAAACATAGGATTACACTGTTTATCGCTTGTATATTCTAGCCTTAATTTTAATTGTGCTTGTATGGGGAATAGTAGAGTTGAATATCATCTTTTGGTTCCTTAATTTTTTTTAATTTGTCTAGTCGGTCATATTCAAGAGCTTGTGAGGACCAAGTGATACAGAATACATCTGTTTCCTCTGGCCTAGGCAACTGGACTTTTTTAAAAAAGGAACTTGAACTTTTAAATGAGATGTTCAGCTTTTGTCTCTAAGATATTTGCCAATTTGAGTTCCATTGAAATGAACAAGAGTAGCATAGGAGGAGTGTGATACTCTCTCAGATTGATTCTTTTTAGTGGGATTTGCACTGGACCATCTCCTGATGGATTCTGCCCTCATAGGTGACTCCTGATACGATTTCCTCTTTGAGATCTGAATGCACTGAGGAAGTCCTGGAGGGCTGTTGTTTGAAGCTTACAATTTGCCCGAAGCCAAAGAACTCAGATGAATTGCTAATTAAAAACAGAGATGGAAACCATGCATAGATTTTAATGAGTTGGAAATTTATCCCAAGATCTTTTAATTCTGCCCCAAATGCACACACAGCCTGAAAGGGAGATTTGAGTAGCTGGGAAAAGGTCAGCTCCTAGAGGTGTTTTTTTAATTTTTTTTTAATAGCAGGAAAGAGATGAAAATACATTTGTTAAAAACACCGACTTTCTCCCCCATCCCCACCCTTTCTTTTTAGCATTTTATAAAGAAAAAGACAAAGAAAAAAAGTTGGATGACGACAGTTCTAGCGCCACGGTCCCACAGTCTGCTTTCCTGGGGCCGACATTATGGGACAAGACCCTTCCCTATGATGGCGACACTTTCCAGTTGGAGTACATGGACCTGGAAGAGTTTCTCTCAGAGAACGGCATTCCGCCCAGCCCAGCCCAGCATGACCACAGCCCACACCAACCCACTCTCCAGCAAGCTACCTCAGCTACACCTTCCGTCATGGACCTCAGCAGCAGGGCCTCCACGTCGGTCCATCCCACCATGGTTTCTCAGAACTGCATGCCAAGTCCAGTCAGACCAGGTAAATGGCCACATGAGCTTTTCTGCAAATGTTCAAGTGTAATACACAAGCGTCCTTATCACTCTGCATGATATGATATATATATATATATACTGTATATCTCTCTCCTGGTGTGTCAGCCTGCTGCGGAAAAACAAAGTCTTGTTGCTACTTAGAGGCAAACATGTTTCATTTGGGATAAACTTTAATGGCCTGTATTTGAAGATGTGGGCTACAGTCTGCTTCTTCTTACATCCCATAAATCTTGTTCATCTTCCAGGTGTGACAAGGTTCCTAGTTGTTAATCTGTGCATGCATCTCTATATATTTATTCAGTATGGTGCATAGTGTGTGAATGACAGGGTGCAAGGGTTACTTGCATCCCGATCATGGACACATTGAGCCCTATTTAGTTAAGAACATGGTAAAGCTGCTTTTTGGAAAGTAACTTCTGGAATCACCTGGTCAGGCAGTGTCTGTGCTGGCTGAGAATTCTGGGAGCTTTTACCCCTCAAAAAAGCTTTGCTAAGTTCTGGATCCTGCCCACGTGCCAAGCAGAAGACAAAGTGAAGCAGATGTATCTAAGATCCAACAGAAGTCTAAGCATCCTGTAAAGCTGGCCTACAGTATGATTGTAGAGAGGGTCAAGGAGAAGCTCTGGAGCACATTGAGGCTGGAGCCTCTGGAGGAACACTAATATGCTCCCCACAGGGACTGGACCCTTAATTCATTCCAGTTTTCTCTGGTAGTTCTGCTCCCCACCAGTTGGGCCATCTCTTGATTGTCTGGATGGAGGAGGGAGAGGAAATCTGCATGGGGAGAGGATAACCTGTGCCGCCCTCTAGGAACACACACCATGCCAAAGAAGATGGTGGCCTACAGTACTCATCTCTCCTCAGAGTTTCAAAGCTGATCTTGTGAGAGGAAAGCAGGGTTCCACACCTAGTGTTTTCCTCATAACGTTTATGGGAGAGGGGCATTTCTGGAGCAAGCTAGTAGGTGGAGGTGCTTCTTTCCCCTGAGAATGTCCCACCAGATTATTTCTCTCAACATATTTCCCCCTTTGAGTTCAGCTGTGAAACCTGGAAAGAAGCCCAGCTAGAAGAGAAATCCCTGAGGAAGGTCATGGAATGTACAGCAGAGGATTAATAGAGTGTGGGAGGGGTTCACCGCTCCTTCCTCCATTCCGCTGGCTCTCTCTTATGAGCATATCCCTCCTGCATTTATGTTTTCTTAATAGGTGCACATTTGGGAATGCTCGCTTGCCCATGAAGCATGTAGCTGGCACGAAAATCTTCCCATGTAACGGTTAACGTGGACCATTAATTGCCTGTGGAACTTACTCTTTACAAGATCTGTGCAAACAATACTTTGTCTGACAGGAAGCTGTTAATGGGCACGCTTCCAGGAAATGTCACCGTCCACACCTAATGTTTCCTTGTGGGAAGTGCTCAAATGATTACTCTGAAAAATCTGTCAGGGAATGTGGAATATTCTGGTGGAAAGGGCTGTAGTGCCGTGATGTTCAGCAAGAAAGTTGTAAAACTGCTTTTAATGTTCTTTATTTAAACTGGAAAAAGAGTCTGAAATTTGTTTTTTTAAAAGTCGGCTTCAGTGCTGAACACACTTATTAAGAAGCAAGTGCTGCCTACCCACAACACTGCCATGTCCGCTGCTCAGTCAGAAATAAGCAGGGATATATTTTTTTTTGACATTTCATTTGCTAATCCATTCACCAAATGAAAACAGGCCTTCTGGGGGGTTTGTCATATTTTATTTATGCTGAAAACATGTGGGCATTTTGAAATCTGCTGAGTGGTAACTATACGCACATCCAGGGACAAATAGGAGGGCTGTCCTTTAAGAACCAGATGGCCTGTAGAGTTGCCAAGCAGAGGCCCTAGAAGTACATTTAAAGTGGTAGGGCTCAAGATTGGCAGGCAAGTCATTATGAATTAGGTTTACCTGCAGGTGCACTTTTACATATGTTTATTTAATAAGCTAAATACGTACTCTCCAAAATCCTGTTGCTTAGCATAGTAAATCACATTAGGGTAGGCCCACTGAATCTATAGGGATTTGATGAATCAAATTGTCCATAGGTTCCATGAATTCAAACAGGCCTGCTCGAATCTCTTTAGCATGGTAAGTTGCAGTTGGAGTGGGCCAAGTTGACTCAATGGAACCTACAGTGGAGTTGGTTCACTAAATCCCCATTGATTCAATGGACCTACAGTACTCTAGTGTGATTCACTATACTAAGCAACAGGATTTTGGCCACAAAATCTCTTATACGGTAGAACTTTGGTATGTACAGTTTCAGGCATTTGCAGGAGAACATGGACTGCATCCTCTGCAGATACAGGGTTTCTTCTGTATTCTACTTGACATTGACAAACTGAGTTTCATGATACAGCTGAATGAAATATGGCTGAAGAATGAAATCAAGCAAATAGAGGACTCCATAAGACCTTATCAAGTGAATGCAAAGGTGGCACTGTAATAGGGATGTAGTCAAGAATTTGAAGACAAAAACTTGTTATTTTCAGGTTCTACAAAAATTGCTGTGTTGCTACTGTGGACTAACATGGCTGCCTTCCCTGAAGGTTCTGCAAAAGAATAGGTAAAATAGGCTTAGGCAATATATGAAATGAGTGGGATATTAACTGAAGTAGCTAATAGAATCATAGAATAATGGAGTTGGAAGGGGCCTATAAGGCCACTGAGTCCAATCCAAATCAAAGCAGAGCTTCCAGATGGCTTTCCAATTTTCTCTTGAATGCTTTCAGCGTTGGAGCACTCGCCACCTCTCGAGGTAATGGGTTCCATTGTCGTACTGCTCTAATAGTGAAGATGTTTTTCCTAATATTCAGTAAAATCTGATTTCTTGTAGTCTGAGCCCATTATTATGTGTATTGCACTCTGGAATGATCAAAAACAGATTCTGCCCTTCCTCTGAAATGTGATAAAAACTTGGTGAACAGACGGAAAAGGATAGGGAAAATGCCTCCCTATTTTAGGGTCCTTTCTTTTAAAATAAAGCTCCTGGATCCTTTAGGTCTCTCTTACTGCTGCTGTTAGTAATTTTTTCGAGTTAAAGACTGCTGCTGTGTTGATTGGTCGTCCCATCACTGTGACAACAGAACAAAACTTAATATTAAAGTTTAGAGAGACTTAGGGCTTATGTAAAACATATTAGACAAATATAGTTGTCTTTTACCTATATTATGGAAAAGATGACTCAAGCCAGCAGTAATGGAACTTACTGGTGTTAGAGAAAAAAATTGCTGCATAGCATATACAAAGTGTAAACAAAAATTACAGGAAAAATGTTGTATTTTGTGATGCTGCTCTCTCAAGGACTGAGTTACAAAGTTGTAAGTAGACCTTTCAGCACAGAAGAGTACAAATGGTTGCAGTAAACTTTGCCATTTCCTTTGCCCCCCCCCCCCGCCTCCAAGAAGTAGACCCACCTGTGGCTCACTGAAAATCCTCTTTAAGTCTAAAATTAAAGAGGAAACACTTCTGGCTTGATAAAAACATTAATATTTTTGACCCAAAATAAATTCCAAAATCTCAATTAAGTCAAGGCCTTTATAATAATTATTTATGTGCCATGACACCAATTCTGACTTAGAGTTTACCTGCCCAGGGTTTTCTACCTTTAGAGGACTGAGAAGGAGGAACCTGCTCCCCCTCCTTTCTGGGACTATGCAGGTTACCCAGGGCTGCACTGAGGCCTGGGTACAAAAAGCATCTGTATCCATTGCCTGCTCTGGGGGTTCAGCTGATCAGCTGTCAAATTGGAAAGCTGATTGCAGATTTCAGGTTTGTGAAACTAAATTTCTTGCTGGGGGGGGGGAACCCAAGTGGAAGGAATGTGCTGGCTGTTTATCCAATAGTTTTGGATTTGTTTCTGTGAAAAATAAGGGCCAGTGTCATGGTGTAGATAAGATCTTCATGGTCATCACCTGATGGCCGTGTGAATAGGCAGTCAAGGAAATAATTTATAATTTAAAGGTAGCTCGAATGGAGGACATTACAGTGGTGCCAGTTGTTGGCCTAAGGCTAAGCAGGCCCGGAACACGTCAAAGACATAGAAAAGGAAGAAAAGCAGCAACTTTCCTGGCCCACCATCAAAGCTGACCTGAACTTCATACATGCCTGCTACCCCACTATCTGTGTGATGTGGTCTGACCTCGAGAGGTGTGTATGACGACTTCCTTGGGGCTCTCACAAGGTGGACATTTCTAGGCAGGAGGTGGCCAGAGCCATTGGCCACAGAGTGGAATTCTGGGGGTGGCAGCTGGATCCAGCACAGGGATTGTTGTTGTTGGGATGCGTTTTTCACGTTGATGGAACTCGCCTATCAGACTGAGGACAGGATATGCGGTCGAAATATTTTCAGGAAGCCATGGCTGATTGTTTGCAGCTGCAATTGTCTTGTGGGGGCTCAACATGTGCCCATCTGCTGGGATGGTTAGGGGGGGACCCAGCCTAGGGTGGACCCAGGGGCAGCAGGCTGGAACCTGCCATAACCTCTGGCTATGGAGAGATCCCCTTAAGGGTTGCTGGGGACAGGGTATGGTTTGTGTAGTATGCATGTGACTGGAAAGGAGGCTGAGCAAACTGAGTGGCTGGCTGGCTGGCTGAGGGATTCTAGGAACTTTATTCCCCCCAAGTAACTTTTCCAAGCTCTGTTGGAAACCCACACTGGTTGCATTCACTATGGTGTTAATGCGGTAATTGCTTGAGAAAGTGAGAGGTCTCCTTGCTCATGTTTTGTTTGTATCGTTTTATATATTTCGAATCTGAAAATACACTTATCCAGGCACACAAAGTTCAGTTCAGTTTTTCTTCTTTTAATCTTTAAAGAAACAACTGAATTCTTTAGTAAGGTGTGTGGCACTGTGCAACTAAGTGCTAAAAGTGAGCAACGTGTGATCCTCCAGATGTTGTTGACTTCAAGCTCCCCATCCTCCCTCTCCATTAGTTATGCTGTTAGAGCTGGAGGAAGCTGC